TGCTCGTGTATCTTAATATAAAAAATGCCTTAAATGCAAGTGAATCGCATAGTCAGTTGATGTCTTATAACATATTTAAAGAAATAACATATTTCTGAAAAATAAACTCGAACGATCTTTATATATAGGGTCGTGAGGGTCGGGGGAGCATCTATGTATGGGCCTCCGGAAATGGAGGCTCAAAAGCGGACGACTGCGGATGCGATGGTTACGTCGGCAGTGTGTATACTTTGGCAATAGGTTCAGCAAGTCAAACCGGAAGTTTTCCTTGGTATGGTGAGATGTGTCCCGCAACCCTCGCCACAACATATAGCAGCGGCGCCTACCAAGATCAGATGATAGTCAGTGACGACATTTCTTTAGCATCGCTCATCGATCATCGTTATTCATATGTCTTTTCATATCTCGTTAGTCTCCCGCCTCATCATAACATTCAGTATGTATTGTATGCATGTTTTCTATTAATAGTGTACTCTCTCTCGCTCTCTCTCTCTCTCTCTCTCTCTCTCTCTATATATATATATATATATATATATATATATTTATTTTTACATACATGTATGCACGCGCGCGCGCGTACACTCATACAGGATAGAAGAGAAAAGGGAAGAAAGACGCTTCGATTTTTACATAGACATTTTCAATTTGTTAACCAGATGCGTGAATCTACTTAAATCTTCCAAAAACATCGATAATAATATTAATATTATCAGATATAATATTGTAATGAGTCGTCACTTTTCTAATTTATTAATTAAATATCGATCATAGAGATCTGTTAACTAAATCTGATACTTTCTATTTTTGTTTCATTTGCTTTCAACAATGTTAATAGTTCTAAATTTTTACAGGCAACAACTGATTTAAAAAATACTTGTACAACTAGTCATACTGGAACATCTGCTTCAGCTCCTTTAGCAGCTGGAATTCTGGCACTAGCTTTACAAGTCAAGTAAGAAAATACTTATATTTTTTATTTTTATTCATTTTTAAATTAATTAAATTTATTTAATTTCAAAAAGTATGCCTACATTTGAATAAATTCTTGTAAGTCATTTAATACAACTGTTTAAAAAAGATATTTAACATTATACTTCTTATTCTATATTCATTATCTCTCTATTTATTTCTCTCTCTCTCTCTCTCTCTCTCTCTCTCTCTCTCTCTCTTTCTTTATCTATTCATGTGTATGTAAATAAATAAATAAATAAATATATATACATATAATGAAAGTAAAATAATATATCTACTTTTAAGCTAAGAAACTTTTCTTAGTTTACTAAATTTTTAATGTAAAAAAAAATTTATTTTTGTTTTAGTAAAAATCTAACCTGGCGAGATATACAACATCTCATAGTTTATACATCAAAACACGATCCATTAAGGTATGATTTTTTAAATATATATGTGGGTATATAATATGTAAGATCTTTATATTAAATTTTCACTATAATAATTTGTATTTTAATATTGTAATTATTATTATCACATTTCTTTTCTAGCATGAACTTTTCTTTTATATATATATATATATATATAATTACTATTTAAGATATTTAATTGAAAAAATATAATAATTATTTACATTATTTGATAATTTATTTTTTAAGAAGTAACCCAGGTTGGTTTAGAAACACAGTAGGACTGTGGTTTAATCCCCGATTTGGTTTTGGTTTGATGGATGCCTATGCTTTAGTTACTGCAAGCTCCAATTGGATTAATGTACCTGAAAAAACTATATGTGTAGTTCGGTCTTCTTCGTTGTAAGCGCCATAATAATTTATTACCTATTCATAATACTTTTAACTTCCTGCTTATATTCTTATATAAGCTTTACATATATAGCTTTCTAATATTACTCCCAATATAAATCTTATTAACACAATGGAATTATATTTAAATCAATTTAACACAATATATCTTTAATTTAATGAAAATTACAAATTATTAATTTTGATGGCGTTATTAATACAAAATATATAATGCCTGGCCTTAAAAGATGAGTAAACTTTGAAATATCATAATTATAAAGAGATGGATCAAATAAAGTAACATCAATTGAAAATATTTAAGAGATTATTGCTTAGCTACTAATAAGCGCCAAATTCATGCGAATTGATTAAAACATCTTTAACACAAATGGAAATACTCTTCATATAGCATAATGTCTGAAGTATTCAATTAAATTTCACAGAATTGTCCGCGAAGTAAGTTACGGTTTGCCACGGAGGATACAATTTGATGCGGACGGCTGTATCGGTACAGCTAACGAAATTCAGTACCTGGAACATGTGCAAGTTGAAACAAATGTCGAATATACACTACGTGGCGCTCTTCAGATGTATTTAACAGCGCCCTCCGGTACAGATATGTCATGATATGTAGTGTCAATCTCTTGCAGTTCTATTTTTTCACCGTGTAACATCTTTCTTTACAATATCATAAAATTATTCACTATCACCTAGTAATTCTAAGTTCTACTACTATTACTACAACTAATAGTGTTATTTTTATTATTTTTGATTATTAAAGGAAATTTTTTTTATTTATTCTTTAGTTTTTCCTATAATCGAAGGTATATAAAAGGTTTAATTTTATCAAAATAATCTTTGATAAACCTAAAATACGTAAAAGAGAAGTACTTGAATAATGTGAATTATTCAAGTGAATCTAAATCTATAATTTTTCAAAATATTAATGCATTTTATATTTTCATTTTTAAACTTTCTTTCACTCTCAAAAATTCTTGTTTTCGAAGAAAATAAAAAAATTAAAAGAATGTATACATAAATTTTTAAATTTTCGTAATTACTGAAATCATTTTAATTTAATCAATAAAATTAGTACTATTATAAAAATATAAATATTCTGCACCCATAATTAACTAGAATTTTATTTAATTCATAAAGTTAATTAAAATTAATACAGTTCTTGTTTAATAAATTATATATTCGAAAGTTTTTATCGCATTTAAAACATTACTTTCTTTCATTATATATTTTTATTATGAAATTTTTTTTAATAATTTTGTTTAATAACAAAATAAATTTCATAATTCATTTTAAAATTTATAATTACTATTACTTATCTATATATAGTTAGTGATAATAATTCTATCTTGAAGTACTAATCAATAATGTTTGTAAATAATATTATATAAGATGTTAATATTTAACAGGCACTGTGGTTCAAATATTAGGTACCAGAAAATATGACGATTCAACTGAAGGTTTTATCGAATGGAAATTCATGTCGGTGGCTACATGGGGAGAAAATCCTCAAGGAATTTGGTCTTTGGACATATTTGATGAGGTTAATTACAACTTTGTTGCCAGAAGTATTATATAAATTGAAAATACAGCATTAATTTATTTAATTTTGTAATACAAATCAGTAACAATAACCGGAAATGAAGTTATTCGAAAGTATATCTTGATACTTTAGATCTTATATATTAAACAATAATTATTTTTAAATAATAAATAATAAACTGTAAAATTGTTTCGAAATCTTTTGTGTTATGTGGAAAGTTAAATAATATTATTTAACCGCTTACATTTTATATAGTCTAAGAAATAATTCTATAAAAGAAACAAAAATTCTGTATGATAAGTATGGATTAACAATTTAAAAATAAAAATATGATAATAACTTAAATTTTCATTAAATTTTTTTTATAAGTAAATATTAAATTAAGTATTAATTTATTAAGTATTAATTAAAGTAAATATTAATTTAAGTAAATAATAAAAGTGTTCAAATGTCTATTTATTATATGAATAAAACATCTTTAAATGGTTTAATATACTTTGACAGATTGGCCCACAAAATAATAGTGGAAGTGTTGGTGATTCAAAACTAATCCTACATGGAACGAAAGAGCAGCCATCTTATTTAGGCAAAATTTTACACAAATATAATAGTACTGTTGAACAAGGGGACAAATTGGTAAGATTTTTAAATTCATAATTATTAATTGTGTAAGAATACAAATCTTAATTATTACTTGTTATCAGTTACTTAGTTTATTTATTAATTAAGATCATGTGTATTTGCATATATCAATCTATACATATGTGTGCGCATGTGTATGTAATTATAAACATATATATACAAAAAGAATATTGTTTGAAAAAGTAATTAGCATTCTGTTAATTCCTATTAAAGAAGTAATGAATTTTGAATGTTTTTATATATAGTTTCATTGCTTTTGCATTTCATTTGCATTATAAATATTAACTTAATTAATTACGAATAAATTTCATTTACATGCAAAAAGATTGAAATATATGATTAAAAATCATACGAATGTGCATTTTAAAACACGAATAAGATTGTATTTTTACGCAGATGTTAAGTGACATTTATGAACAAAAATGTAATAGTCATATTGTTTATAAGTATATTCTATAATTATAATATTAATTAATTTTTCTCGTGTTTTTTCTTTATAAATATACGTTGTTTAAAAAATATTATTTTATATTTATTTTAACCCAAAATTTTGAAATATTGTGTAATTTAGAAAAAATAAATTCTTAAATAAAAGAAAAAAGAAAAATTTTCATTAATATTACATCATAATCATGAATACCATTTTTTGATAAAACGATACAATATGTTTTAACAGAATAAAAGTTTTTACAAAGAACATTTGCTTTTTTTCTAGAGTATGAATTTTATGTAGAAGTTTAACTTTTAAAATATTTCCAGATTTATGTCAACAATGGGGAAAATAGCTTACTTCAAAAGTCGCAAGTCCACAAGAATCATAGTGGCTTAGATGATAGTTTCAAACAGGATTGGCTTGTTCGTTTTATTTAAAATCATTAAGTATATGAATTTAAATAAAATACATATTCTACTGAAAAGATATGTAACACTTCAATTCTTCGAATGCATATCAATTAAAAAATATAAATATAATTAAATAGTTTTCAAATAGCAGACAAATGTCTTCAATTTATTATATTTATAGCACTTTGAAAATTTTTAAAACATGACTTCTTTTAATAATTATAGGTCTAAACTATATTCATATTAAAAGCACAGTTCTAAAATTTCTTTGTATTTTAACTAAAAATCCTTTTAAATGCTATTTTATTGAAATAAAGTCTACAAAATCACGTATTTTAAATGCCTTCCATTAATGTTATTAATTAATGATGATTTAAACGACTTAATTAAAAGTAATTGCTAAAATTAACAAAACCATAATTAAAAAATAAATTATTGATATACAAATTTTAAATTAATCTTTTAATTTAAAATAAATACCATTTAAGGGCACAATTATGTAACTTTAAAAAGGAATGAAAATTCAAAATCAAATTATTAAGGTATATACTTATGCTATTTTTTGCGAATGCCTATAATGTATATCTTTGTAAATCTAGTTACTTTTTATATAGAAAGCAAAAAGTAATAATTATTATAACCTTTTTGATTTTTTAATGCAACACTTCAATATAAAAAATATTTCTCTTCTTTGGACTAAATTCTCAAATAACTGTTTTCTCATAACAGCGTGAGCGGTTTATTTCACTTAAATATAAATTACTCTTAGGATTCGGATTCTTATTTTGTTCAAAAATTTGAAAAAAATTTTTTATGTAATTGGAAAACAGTTAATAAAGGAGTAGTGGTAACCAAATTAATACGTACGAGTTCACGAGTTCGCATTTAAATTTTTTGCAAATAAATTAACGACCTCCGACGGATAGTATAGTAGCAAACGGATTAAATATATTTATCTAATAACGATAAAAAAGGTTACTATATTATCGACTCAATTAATTCAATAAAAATCGATACAAAAAAATAATAAAAGGATATGGAGTACCATACTCGTACATATGTATACTTACCACATAAATCCAAAGAAGATAATCTTATTATTATTATATGTATATATTTATAATTAATAATTATATTGTATATATTACAATTGGTCAAATTTCGATTCAAAATGCTTGAAAAAATATTATTTGGCAATTTACATTAAAAACAAAACATAATTTCATAAAATCTTAATTATAAAAATTCTACATTTCATTAAATAATAATGATGATAGTAATACTTTTACCTATGTATCGAAAACGTAATTATCATAACGATTCCTGATTATTCATACATTTCTCTGAAAATATTCTCTAATATTGTATAAATATTAAATTACTGCATTTGGAGATAAAAACCTTTAAAATTGAAAAATATATTTAGTAAAAGTTAATTATATGTTCTGAAACTATTTTATTTGATTCCATAAAATAGTATAAAATGCATTGAGCGGTAACTTATTACAATTATAAATATGTCATTAATTTTAGCATAGTTTGAGCATAAAAATAATAGTAATAAAAATAGTAATAATAGTAATAATAAATATAAATAATAAATCTAAGATTGAAAAGAAGAAATTAACCGAGATAAAGTAATTCATCATTAGAACTTGTACTTTATAATAACGTATTTAATAAGATATATGAAAAGCACGATTATAATTACACACAAGCACTGTTATTGTATTTATGCAATATTTTATCAAAATATTTATATCATATGTTTGAACAAGACACCCTATATCACATGTATTCCGTAATGTATTTTCTAAAAGTCTTGAAATTTCAAACAACTTATCTTAATAATATACAATTATCAGTCATAAATAATCACTGGAGCAATATTCTTGGATATTATGCTTATAACGGCAATCAAGCGAATCCATCTTTAACTTATAAAGCAAAGGTAATTTACTATGCTGAAGGGCTTGTCATATTAACTAGACGCTTCATTCTAGCGAAATCGAGATATTCCGAGTTTCGGTAAATAAGACTGGCCAACTGTTGGGTGCTTGCATAAGTATCAGCTCTTGTGCCTTTACACATGATCAACTGATGCTCCTTTAATGATTTGTCGCAATTGATTCCATGAAATACGTGTATAAGATCTAGATCCGATGAACGAAAGATATGAAGTTCCGATTGAACAGCTTTCTCGAAGAGATCAACATCCTCCTTACCCCAACCCTCAATAGAGAGGTCAAAGCCACCCATTGCGTCATAATCGCTCTTATATATGGCGACGATACCAAAACCAAAGAGCCGCCAGAAGCCATTAACATCGCTAATAATATCTTGATCGCTTATTCCGAATATGATTTTTGGATTATACTGACTGAAGACTACGGGGAAGTAGATACGCTTAGCTTTCAGAGTATTCCGACGTATTCTTTGAAGGATCGGCATCTCGAAGCTGATGTCAACATCAATGAAGAACATGAGATCATCTTCACGGAGAAGAGTCGTTCCTTGATCGAGAGCCCGTGCTCTTGAGAAGTTGCCCACACCCTCAATCATTTGTACCTTCTGTTGACCGTAGTTACGTTTCAGTCGTTCAATCAATCGACTTATGGAAATAGTTTCGAGCTCGTTACTTGAATAAACCACAACAAGGAGCTTTGTGTGTTGAAATCGTGACAAGCACACACGTTCATAGTTTTGGAGAAAGCGACGCATTGCTTCTTGGCGTCCTGATACTGGCACAATAAAATGAATGACCCTCTTATCTAAATCATCAGATGGTACCTCTCGTGTCTCCAGACCTGTGATCACGAAAAATGCATTATTAATTTCTTATGTTGAGTTCATCACTATTTTAATTATGTAACTTTAATATCAGTCTCGTCAACGTAATAATTATATTTATTAAGGTAATTTAATTTTACAAGAGAACTAGAAAATTTATTTATTTAGGAATTCACATACTTTTTTTCTTGAATATTATTCGCTAGGCAACAAAAGATTATAACCTATTTTGAATGAACAGCACTTTGTTAACGAACCATCAGTATTAACTGATTTAAATATATAATAAGACAATTTAAAATACAATAACATAATTGTTATTTATTAATTAAATCATATTTATTATTTAACTTATTTATAAAAAGAAATAATATTATAATTGAATACTTTTCAAGTGTTAAATATCAGAATTAATACTTAAATTAAAACTATTTTAAATAATTAACTTAAAATCAATTTTATATAAATATTTTTTATAAGAATTTTTAAGGACAAATTATTTAATATATCTTCATTGGCATTAAATTTACAAAAGAATTTTAAATGACATTGGATTTCATAAGAATTATATCATTAATAAGTTATTTACTAGATCCAAAAATTAAATTATTATATGAATTTGAAAGTCAAGTATAGATCTTTTTTCTTTTTAAAAAAAGTCATGAATTGTTGAAAATATTATTTAGAAGTAATACAATACTTTTTATATTATTTAATAAAACATATATTATTAAAATGGATTCAATTCTGCTAATGAAATTAATAATATATTAATACAACAATAATAAAACTACTTTAAATAACTACATGTTTATAAATTTAATTTTAAAATTTAAAGAAATGAGAATAGTAATGTAATGGCGCACTTTCCCTAATTAATTGTATAAATTTTTCTAAATAATTTAAATATTTAAAAATTCTATCATTATATTAAATTATATTTATTAATATATTTAAGTATATATATTTTTATAATATATTTAAGTAGATTTATTTATATTTACAACATAAATCTTATTAATTGTTATATGTATCATTTATTTTAGTGCACATTGATAAAAATCTATTCAAATAGAAAGAATATGTAATATTTAGATTATTATTATTATAAATAATTGAAAATAATAATAAATACGTTTTTAACATAAAGGAAAATATGAATAACAATTGATACCGTATTATTTAAAAAAATTTTTTTTAATATGATTTAAATAAAAAATATTAAAATTTTAAGATATTCGTCATTGGTTTTTATATTTCTATTATATTTCTACATCTATATATTTAAAGCACAATATATGTTGAAAAAAAAGAATAAATAAAATAAATTATTGATTGAATTAATATATTTATAATTGTATTTTACATTATCATTTAATCGTCTTTAATGAAATTAAAATAATATTCAAAATTAGTTATATTAAAATAAATGTATATTAAATTATATTAAATTTATATATTAAATAGACTGATACATATTAATAATTTTTTGGTTGCCTGTGGTGATTATTTTTTTTTTTATAGTGATTTATAAAAATATTTCGAAAAATTGTTTAATAAATTGAACAACCTTATGGTAATGTGGTAGTCATGTTAATAATATTTTATTATTCAAATAATTTATTTAAATTTTTCAAAAATTACTTAAGCTTTCCAAAAATTACTTATTTTTTTTCCAAAAATTATTAAAATTTTTCTAAGTACTTCTCTAATTATTATAATTTTATTTTTAATAATAATGATTTCACAACCAATTATGTTGAATATATATTTCATTATTTCTATAAAATTAATACTAAACAATGTGAAAATCTGTCAAAGCAATAAGTTTTTAAATATTATACTTGTTTTTTAACAATATATATTTGAATTTTTCTTTATATAAGGATAAGTAGTTGCGTGACCAGTAATTCCATGAATAAATTTGTCTTATTTTTTTCATATACATGTATAAAAATTTTCAACTTAATTTGATAAGCTTATGATGAAAAAAGTGCATAACAATAATACTAATATTATAGGTGATTTAAGCATCATTGTAATCTCATAACAAGTTCTAACAATATGCATAATGTGAACAAATTATTTTAAATAGATCATTGAATTGATTTTTATAATAAAAATCTATTTTATAACAAAAGACTATTTTTGTAAGCATTATTTTAAAAAATATATTTTTCATTTAAATATACATAGAATTTATATTGATTTAAAGTTTTTAAACACTATTTACTGAAAAAAAGAAGAAAACTCTGTCAAAAATGAAGATAACAATATAAGGTCTTACCGGTAAAATGCTGGTGAAGATAAAGGTGTCGGCGTACGGGGAGTGTGAGCTTCCTGCCGCGGTATTTCTTGTAAATCAGGAGAAGGTCGAGAACGGTGTCGACTCCGACAGCGGTACGCCTTCGGTATCCGTAGAGTGCCTGACGTTCCTCAACTAGCCGCCCCCGTTGCCTCGAGCAAGCGTTGATCGAAGCCATGACCTCGCGTGTCACGTCTTCAAGACCCTCACGCAGATCACTATGTATGCGTCTGCGTGGATTTGAATCAACAAGGCTATATTCTGAACGTGAGACGAAATCCCAGGGGGGTAATCGATGGTAGGTCTGAATCTTCCGACCTAATACAATAGCAGATTCGAATAAACGAACAACGATCAATACAATTAAATCTAAAGAAAAACGATTATACATTACCTGAAGGATAGTATGCGTCGGTACTAAATGGCGACGAAAGGCTCCGTGCCATTCTCTCCATATCGCGCTGCAATTCGATTCGTTTTTGCTGAAGTTCCTGTATCTTCAAACCCTATAAGCAATAATTATTTTTTCATATTCCTTTTATATAGAGAAATTTTTTTTATATTTTTCAGAATATATATTTTTTTATTAATGACCGCCTTTATGGTTCTACATCATGCGTACGTTGCCTTTTCTTTGAAAATATATATTTTTTTTTTAAATAGCCGAAAGAGAATTATAAAAAGCGGGCTTAAAAGAGCACATTAAAACGAAAAATCGATTGCAATTGAATTATATACAATATTAGGATATGTATGAACCAAATTAAAAAAATACAATATTAGCAATAAAGTTTATAAGAAAGTTTATTAGATATTGTTATTGGAAGTAGACTTAAATATCATAATAAATTAAAAATCATAATATATTATAAATCTAAATCACGATTAATATTCAGATTCATCGTAGTAAAGAGTTTAATTTTTTTCATTTCTTTATTTTCTTTCAATTATTCTAATGAAATTCAATAAATTTCACATTTCAATCTTGGTATATTCTGTATAGAGCCATATAAATAGATCATTTTTTGGCAATTTTATTATTATTCGTTTTTGTTTATATATATATATTTTTTTATGGATACATATTAGAAATAGATATTTTTAACGATCGATTTGAATTAGGAATAGTGATTGTAAAAATCTATATATATATATATATATATATAGCATATGTATAAAAAAGGATCAATTCAACTATAAAATTCCATGTAATATATTGTATTCCGAGAGAATAACAATGTTAACCAACGAATCAATAATCGAGATATTGTACAGGAGAGATTAGGTAATGGTCGAAGTGGATAATAAAGAGGGACACTGACCCGCATGTAGTTGTGCAGACGGTACATATGGGGCGGACTCTTCACCGGGTGCATGCTGATCGCTCTGTGTACTTCCTTACTTTTCAGCTTGCCGGTGAAGGCAAGATCACCGCTACTGTTGTGATATAAAATCGACTGCATCTGTAACAACCAGACACGCGTAGAAAAATGTCAATTACATTAAATTACTCGCTTCCTGCGCGCGCACGATTCTACAGTCCCAATGGAACTGCAACCGACATCTCAACTCAAGGCCACTCTTACGATGCATACTCCCTCTCCTCTTCCTCTTCACTTACTGAAAAGACGACTGTCTCAAGAGATTACCGTCGCGTATTAAGATATGCTCGCTTACTTAGCGAGCTTACGATTCGTTTAACCTAACGAGTCACTTCCTTATTCGTTGACTCATTTCGTTCGACTCGTCGTCTTCTTTCTCGTCGATTCTTTTTGCTTTGGATAACGCTTAACTTATCTTACTAAAACTCATGCTTCTATAAATTCTGCTCAAACAGTGACTCTTCAATTAAATTAATTTTATATGATATTCCTATTTTATTAATTAATTTTAAACCATATCCTACTACACGCCCTCAACTTTACAAATATGCCTTACCGAACATACTAAATGGCATTAGTTAGCGCGCGTTTGTAGAAAAATATATAAATTTATTTATTTCTCAAGCAAATTGAGCACAATGTTATAAAGCAATCAGTTATTTATGCATTATTTTTCTATTCACGTTACCTACAAACTGCATAATCATAATATTTTCATTTATTCCTTATGTTTCAAAGAACTATAATTAACAAAAATAAAGCATTAGTTTTAATGATTATTAACAATAAAAACCATGTAAAATACATATGCGGATGCAGATCAAAGTAATTGACCGTATTCTTTTCAATTTTTTTTTTTAATGCAAACTATAAATATAAATAGCAGAAGCATAAAATATTTTTAAATGACGGTGTAATAGTGTTAAATTATTTGAATGTTTGAATTTTTTAATATAAAAATTGTTTATTATTTAGTATATTTAGCATATTTAGTATAAATTTATAAATTAATGAAAATAGAATCCATAGAATTTTAATGAAAACAAAATTTATTTGTTATTATAAAGATAACTTCATTGAAATGATTTGTGTAAATTATCTTCAATACGTGCGCATTTATATTAACAATGTTTTTTAAATTTTACCATTATAAATTTTATAATATTCTTAACTAAAAAGCTTTAAAGTTTTATAACTCAATAAACTCATGGACTAGTTAAACCTTCTTAATATATATTTGACAGTTAAACAAGCGAAATAAGCTTGAATTATATTTTAAGAAAAATATACTGATACTCATTTGTACAATGTTATTAATATTTAATGTATGTTCAATAATAAATATTAATAAATTTATTATAACGAATTATAAAAACCTTTCATTAATCATGATTTTAAAAGTAAATTTAAATTCTCAATAAAATATGGCTAATAACCTTATTACTTATTGACATCCAGTTTATTTATTCTGACGTAAAGAAAAATGTTAAAATGAAATATTGATATTATTCGTATTTCGCGTCTTAAGAGTAAAGCAGACATAGGGTATAAATATGAAAATTAAGGTTTGAAGCGCGTCGTTTAAATTGAAGTAGCGGTAAATGGTATGGTAGAGCACGGTATCGTAGAAGAGAAGAAGGGAGAAAAGGAAGAAGGAAATGAAAAACTACGAAAAAGGTGAAGAGCAGGAGAGTTGTTAAACGACCGAAGTCAAGTTTTTCAAAAAGCTTTTTTCAGAAATAAGACCATACAAGCATATAATCTACGCTCCTCTCTTACCTCATAGCTCCAGGTACACGAAACTCCAGCAAATTTCCTCACACAACGGCCGAGCTCCACGTCCTCGTGCGCCGTGTAGAGATTACTTAGGCAATGCTTAATGTGAGGCACCATCCGCCGAAGTGTTTCTCGCGACATTATAACTCCGGGTCCACCCATACAGAAGTTCTCGTCATACTCCAGGGAGAGTCTCCCAAACTCGCGTGAGTTCCCTCGACCCGCTTGTCCAATGTACTCCGGCCTCCGCGAGTCCACGCTCCGGAGTAAATGCTCAAGTCGGTCCATACGTACGTAAAGATCATCATCAGCCCTCAAGAACCACTCAAATCGTTCCCCATATCGCGTCCACATATGCTGAAGCATAAGAAACGACTTCTTCTGGGGCGGATAGCTGTCGTCGACTCGTGGAAGAGCAATTATCGGCAAATCTGGGCATTCTACCGGAGGCCGTGAGGCCTCTGATGAAAAGAAACCGATTTGTCCAGGTACCTCGCGACCCCAACTCTCATATACGGCCTTCGCTCGCGTGCCTAGATACTTGCGTGCCGTCATAACCCCAACGAAGAGCAAGCCTCCGGAGCTTATCTCTCGACGTGAGGTCGTCGTACCTAATAAATGAGGGCTTACACCCCGGCGGTCCGGTACTGAACGTTGCAATAAAAGCAATCCAAGAAGGAGACCACAGCCCAGGCCCAGGACGGCGCTACTTAGGCCGCGTCGCTTACGCATTGCATGCCGACATACAGAAACCGGTTTGCGCGCGGCTTAGTGCCGTGGCTTTCCAAGAGAAGCTGAAAATGCACGTGCGCTACGACTGCGTGTCCGATCGTAACTGAGCGCAACGATGGCACTGAAAGAGAGCGCTACGACGGCGTCCGAGACACGAAACTCTGAGAGACGGGAGAGAGGTAGCGACGAAAAACTCCTTCGCTCCGTTAAGGGGCCAGTGCGCGGCTTCGGGGCCATGTGCGCTATTGGATAGGGCTGGGTGGGGCAAATCGGGGCGCGCCACGATTTCCTGACCGTCCTCATCGTAGGCTATTGCGCTGATACTCCGATGCGGAGAGGACAGAGGAGCGGGACTATTTTTAACATGTCAAGAAAAGCCGCAACGGGGAACTTGTCTCTCCTAGGCCGCCCTTGTAGTTATCCGCTGACGGGAGGTCCCGGATCAAAAACGATACCAACCTTCGCTGTTATGTGCTTTCTACAAATGTTATGGCCTCGGTAGCTCGGTACAGGCTACAAATCGAGTCACTTCTTAACTTAGCTCTTCTTACCTTCAAGTGACCTTTCTACAATGGCAAAAAAATATTTGACGCAGCATTTTTTTCATATTTATCCTATTATTTTATTTGCAAAAATATTATTTATATTTATACAGTTGTGGTATAAGAGCAAATTACAAGTTTTATTAAAAAACCAAGTCTAAAGCAATGATCTCATAAATAGTAAATGCTCGAGAATACGAATTATGACTGACAGCTATTATTCGATAATTCGTTGCTGTTAGAATTTTAATATGTATTCTCTTGACTTGTAAAGTTGAGCTTACATGATCTGCATAAAAAATATTACATGTATTGGCGTGAATTAGAGCCGTAAAAAGTATTTCCTTATCGAGTTTCGTTATTTTGCGGCGACGGCTACGCGTTAAAGCAGTTAAGAGACTGATATTAACTTCATATGCAAATCTGTTATATTCGTTTTAAAATCTCTTTATAAACATTGTTTTTTTATATAATATATAGGTATAATTGTCCATTATTAATAAAGATCTATTTCATCAAACTCAAACTTGAGTATTTTGAGAAATTTCTAACCTTATGCTTCAAGGTCAAATAAATATACAAAACACTATAAAAAATACTGTTTAAATTATTAATAAACTAAGCATATTTACAATATATATATAGGCAATTTGAAATAACAACAATAAATCGAACAAATAAATTTCTCGATGAAAAAATCTTATATTGCTAAAAATAATTAATAAACTTCTTCAAAAACAATAAACTAATGAGTGTTTTCATTTCCGCGGGTACATTGATTTCGTTATACAAGCAGACAAAAAGATATATCTATATAAAGACTTTTATATACTTTCTTACATTTAAAAACATAGTTATTTGAGAATTTATACTAAATACTTATAGTATGCATGTACACATATACGATTTTGCTGAAAAAAATACGATAATTAGAAATATATTAATATGTAAATATATATATATATAGATACAAATTAAAGACTAACAGTATTTGAATATATAAACAATATGAATAATTCTTTATCAGTTAATTTAAATTGCACTATAAATAATGTAAAATTGCTTTCAAGTTTGATTGAGATGATTGAGATAGTTTTTATTGGTATGCAAAACTATATACAAAATTTTACATGCATAAATATAATTATCTAATCAACTATATAATTAATGTTTTATATACTTACAAAATTTTTAAAAATTGGCTAGATATAACGAGTAATTAAAGATAAACAAATTTTAATTCACTGTTTCAAAATTTTTCCATATTTTTTAACTCAACAATTTTTATTTAGTAGTTCTTTTTATTTTATTTTGTCTATCTTCATTAATATTGTTATTCAACTATAATAAACTGACAAAAATTAAGTGATTATTTTTAAAAAATAATATGAATCTAGATATAGATTTTCTTATAAAACATTAAAAAATTTTCATTTCTTCAACTCTTTCCACTAATATTGTTAAGAAATACTTCATTATATGACGATAATTATTATTTTGGAACTATTATTATATTAGTTTCCAATAGAAGTTACGTTAAAATAGAAATATAAGTTAAAGTTGAGTCACAAGTTTAAAATATTCGACAATATTTTATGTATTCAAAAATAAAAAAATTTTGTAAATCCCAATTCAAAATTATGAATATCTATTTTAATACATATTGTATGAAATCAAGATTAGTATGGTTAATTAGGCGCTTCAAATATAGTAATTTTAGGTCAGTAACTTCAAATTTATAATTGTGAATAAAAATTAATTTAACGAATTAATATATCGTAATATTAATTAGTTTCAATTAATTTACCCTTACAATTACAATTACACTAATTGTAATTATAAGTGTAAATTAATTAAAACTAATCAATTTAATGAATTAACATATCTTAATATTGATTAGCTTTAATTAATGTACACTCACAATTACAATTAAGCCTACGATTGCAATTATACTTAAAATTACAATTAACCTTACACAATCACAATTACACGTAACTTGTGATAATGAAATATATTATTCAATGAAAGTATTTTAAACTTTCCTTCAACTGTATAAAAAAAAATTAATTTTAATAAATATAATTTATTCTTAATATGATTAAAATGTTTTAAAGGTTTATTTTATAACTCGTTAAAACAACAGGGAAAAATTTTCCACATGATTATGAGTTATATAATTGTAAACTATACAAGGGTATAGACCATGCGAATTATAAATTTATTATAAAGTAGCTTAAAAGGACAAAGTATATAAGTGTATGTTTGATTATCGATTATGTGTAACTTACATATTTACTATGTCACCAGTGATTACTTCTTCAATTACACAATTCTCTACAGAATGAATTTTTGCAAAATAATTATCCATTAATCTAGTTATTATTAATTACTTTTGAGATATTTCTTGGTGTCATTTTCTTGTATTGATGCATATAGTGAAGTTACAAAGTGTGAAAATAATGAACATTATCAAATTGAGCTATAAAAAGATTTTTACTTGAAAAGAAAGAAAATGTTTTAAAAAGAAATACTTTTAGAGAAAACATAAATTTGTAGAAATGAAGAATTTCACAAAATGGGTTGAAAAATAAATTTTAAAACTACATAGTCTCTTTAAAGAATATAAAATATCGTTTTAGAATGCTAATAGTTTTAAATTGAAATGATTAAATTGAGTGAATATTATATCTGTATTATTATACATTTGAATAAACATCAATTCGATGTATTGTTATGATATCAGCACTGATTACTTTGCTTTAATATGTAAGAAAATATCTACAATTTTATGGTATTCAAATACAATAAATTATTATATATCTAGAAACAAAGAATTGTTTTAAAATTTTTTAAGAACTTCTTATTATTAAAGAAACATTTAAATTGCTATTTAATAACATTGTTAAAACTTTATGATAGCATAAAGTTAATTTTAATTAGTCCCGAATATGCATTGTAAAACCGTTAGAAAAATCATTTAAAATTACCGTTACAATATCTTAGCATTTATAATATTTGTTTTACAATATTTATTATGCTACCTACTATATAATTATATTATTATAACATGTTAATATCCAAAGTGTATATACAAAAAACGTGCAAATACGTTTGACTTTTTGTGTTCTTTGCGCACTTATGGTATGTAACTATATTTTGGTTATGAAACTAACGTATAATCCATGTTTTCAAATCTTTTAAAATATGTTTTTCACTTATCTAATTCTTAGTTAACACCTAATAAATTATAAAATCTCATCATATATGATAATATCTTACATTATTCAATATGCTACAAATTCATTACAAATGACTGAAACATAGGTACTATTATTATTTAAGAATTATATCCACAAATATTGCAATTATCATTAAATTTTTAAGATGAAAAATTAATTTTGTTAATTTAACATGTTTTTATTTTATGTAAGAAAATTAAAAAATAACCTTTAAATTTATATAATAGCAAGATTGTGATTATGCAGATTCTTTAGAAATTAAATAAATATATTCATTTGCATAAAAAAAATTATATATTTATAATATTATTATCATCAAGGTCAAATAGAATATTACTAACTAGATATGGCAACTATTAAAATTTTCTGTTTTTCAAGGTTTAGTTGAAGCATATCTTCCATTGTATAAATTTCAACATTTATGACTTCATAATTTAACATTCATAAGTTAAATTTTAACATTATTACAGTAACCAAATCATTTTTGTTATTTGCTTTAATTTACTCCAAAATATGAAAAATTAAATAATTTTTTTTTATTGTATAATGTACTGATCAATTTCAAGTAAATATCATTTTAAATCATTTTAAACATAACGCCAAGAGTAATAATGCGTGTCACATGTACTACGTATGTTTTAGCGCAACTGTAGTAAAAAGGACAATTACAGTGGCAGGTTAGAATGTGAATAAAATATAATGTAATAAAAGTATAAAAAACAATTTTATCACAGTAAATGTGAAAACCATATATATAATAATGATAAAAATGAAAATAATATAAAAATTTGTTTGAATCTCACAAGCCGATTAATTCATTATTTTAATCGTTTTATATTATGCCACTATGTAAGGATACATGCATTATTTTGTTACTATACCTTGTCATTATTTCTATTACTATTACTACTACTGCTATCGCGACTACTGCAAATGCTACTACTATTGCTACTGTTACTACTACTGATGCTGCTATTATTCCTAATGCTACTGCTACTACTACCACTACTACTACTACTGCTACTACTACTACTACTACTACTACCTACTTACTACTGATGCTGCTATTATTCCTAATGCTACTGCTACTACTACCACTGCTACTACTACTGCTACTACTACTACCACTACTACTACTACTACGACTACCACTACTACTATTACTACCTACTACCACTACTATTGCAACTATACTACTACTACTACTCCTACTACTACTACTACTACTACTGCTGCTGCTGCTGCTGCTGCTGCTGCTACTACTACTGCAACTACTACTATTATTATTATAACATTATTGTTGATGTTATTATTACTAGAAATTGTGGCAGGATTAAAATGGTCCTAGTAATTTTTTAGTAGTTCTGCAGTAATAGTAACGTTATTATTATTATATATTAATGCATAATCAATAGGGCTACAATATTATAAAAAAAACTGATAGGTTGTAGAGGAAAGGTAAATAGAATAATATTGTTGGGTTGGGTAATATATATATATATATGGATCTGGAAGTAGATCGATGAAATAATTAAAAAATCAACAATGTACGACATGAAAAGCATAATATGGTAATATCCAAGGTGGTGTTGAACGATAGAGAGAATTGGATCAACGTTAAAAAGCTTGAAAAGCATTGCGGTAAAATGTGCAGTGTCGCAGTTGAGTCGCGTGGTGCTGACAACGAGGCGTCGGGTTTCTTCGGAAAGGATCGTTGGCATTCGTCGGCTCGCTGATCGGAAGTGACGCGCATCGCTTTCGTTATTTTTACAGTTTCGCTCGCTCTCTGTCTCTGTCCCCCTCTCCCTGGACCACCGCTAGTCGTCTCTCTCGATTTCTGTTGCTCTCTTGCTCTTTTTCTATAGCGCACGTATACTAATAAAGCGGGGATATATGTACGGACCTGCGCTGTTGCTGCTGCTGAAACTGAGAAGTGAAAACTGCGTAAACGAGAGAGAGAAAGAGAGAAAAACAACGGTGTGACTGGTGGCGACACTGGCGACCGACGAGACTGCGTTGATCGTAAGCAAACGCGGGGATAGCATAGGAGTAGGAGCCATTAGCCTCGTCCGCTGACGACCGCTGGTTTCAGATAGATACGGTCGCACGATCAGCTGCCATATTCCGAGGGCCCGAGCACTTTGCCGATAAACTAGCAGTCTCCTGTAGTTTTTAAGAAAAATATTATGAGAGTGAAGAACGAAATGGACGACGACGAAAAGGGGTAAGTGCCATACAAGCGGCGAAATCGCGCCTTTTCCCTCGGTTCTTTTTTTCGCCTCTCGTTCTCTCTTTCCTCGTTCGTCCGTGGCCTCATGTTCGATCACCTAAGTATACGAATACACCACGTTTTATAATTCTTTAGTCAAGTCGATCGTAATTGGACTCGAAATCCAAGGCGTCACCAAAGCGTGAAATTGAGCTCTTGAGTTTGCGCTCGGAAGATCATTGTCAAGAAATTGACGGCATGGCCGATCGAGGGGACGCGACCGCTGGAAGTGAAGCGATGCCGGCATTCATTCCACTTTGGCTGAGCTGGCGGTGAGAGAGAGAGAGAGAGAGAGAGAGTCAGCGAGCGTGAGAGAGAGAGAGCGAGAGGGAGGGAGAGGGAGAAAGAAAGAAAGGAAGAATCGGCTTTGGTTCGGTGCCTACTTCGCTTCGTGGCGTGGACTCACCGATCCTCTCTCTCTCTCTCTCTCTCTCTCTCTCTCTATCTATCATTCTCTCTCTTCCTCTCCCTCTCTTTCTGTTTCTCTCTCTTTCTCTTATTCAGCTTCTCCCGCTTTTGCTCCTTCTCTCACATCACTCATTCTCACCCTTCATCATCGCGCTTCATCCCGTCATAACCAACTCCTCGTGCGAATTATCTTTCACTCACCCAATGATCAATGTCATATCCGAAATCTGGTCGAAAAAATAACAATGTACTCTGAATAAATCGGTTCATCTTCACTGTAACACGTATAACTAATGTATGGATGCTAACTGTATGCGTGCGCCATAACCACTCACTCATGCGAAACACGACATATATGCATATACATATTTCATATGAACGGCTTATCGTCTCACAATTCAAAAGTTTAACAAATAAATTTTTGGTCCAATCTTTAGAAAATTGTTTGTTGGTGGTCTATCATGGGAAACAACCCAAGAGAACCTCCAACGTTTCTTTGGACGCTATGGAGAAGTCATAGATTGTGTGGTTATGAAAAATAGTGAATCAGGTCGGAGCCGTGGATTTGGCTTTGTCACCTTCAGTGATCCATCCAATGTTGGAATTGTTCTACAAAATGGACCTCATCAGTTGGATGGTCGAACGGTATGTCATTATTTTATATCATTATTCTATATCACCATGATTCCACTTTATGATTTGCTTAGTTATCATTGGTACTCTATTTATAGATTGATCCAAAACCATGTAATCCTCGTACGCTACAAAAACCAAAACGTAGTGGAAGTTTCCCCAAGGTATTTCTTGGAGGTTTGCCGAGTAATGTCACAGAGACTGATTTGAGATCGTTTTTTCAACGTTTTGGCAAAGTCATGGAAGTAGTCATCATGTATGATCAAGAAAAGAAGAAATCCAGAGGTGAGTTATGTTTTTATTTAATCAATAATATTTTTAAAAAAGAGCACACTTGTCATTTTGAAAAGTCATTATTCCCGTGTTCAAGCCTAAAGTATATTTATATTATTTTCAAAATGAATATTTGACAAATTTTCTAATTATAGTTTTTTTAATTTATTCTAATTATTCTTTTCTAATTATTTATTTTTAAAAATTGTTTAAATATCTAGCAAACATAGCTGAATTTATACACTAGAAGTCAGCTTCTTTGATATTCAATTATTTTTAATTTTATCATATTGTTTATAATATTAAATCCATGTCATTGTAACTAATAATAACAAAATTTAAAGAAGCAGATCCAAAATGTTTATGGATTCAGCATGGTCATTGTGATAACATTGGAGTCTTCATTCATTTTACAATTAATGCGTACATTTAAATTATAAGTGTAGCTTAAGGCATAGAGTCAGGCTATACTATATAAGTTATTTATGTATAATTATATGGATTACGCTACATCAGTGTTACATTGTAAATTTTACTAAAAGAATGACGTTTAGTTTTATGGAGATAGAAAGTAATTATACACTCGACGTTATGCTTATGTAAAGAAAATGATGATTGTTAGTGAAAACTTTTCGATGGCGATGGTGTCTCTAATAATGAAAAAATATGTATTTACTTCGAGAAATATTCGACGGTCAATTTTTTTATAAACGATCTGTCACATTTGGATGGCAGGCTTTGGCTTTCTCAGCTTCGAGGATGAAGATGCAGTGGACCGGTGCGTTGCAGAACACTTTGTCAACTTGAATGGAAAACAGGTATAGCATATATGCACGAAACGAATCTATATTTATAAATTTACGATTATAAAAAAATTATGACGCTACAACGATGTTTCGGAAGCTTACGATTATTAATATACATTTAAGATAAGTTATTGTAGGTAAATTTAAAATAATTATGTTTTATAATCATTGTATAAGAAATTATTTTGTTAAGTTAACTTAACTGTAGTAGACTATAAGTTTCTTAAACTATATATTCATTATATTTATTATATATTAGAATTAGAATCGATTATATAAGTATAATTAATGTAATTTTACGTTAAAATTTCTTAAAAATTAATTCTTATTTGTATAATTGATGAATTTTCTCATAATTTAATTATCGATAAGATAGCTTAGCATCTATTTATAATATTTCCAAAGCGTAAATTTTGTCTTTTCTCCTTATGAACTCTCCATATTGCTTTAAAAAATATATATGAAAAAACTTTTTTTACACACATGCTTCGCATTATGTTCGCAGGTTGAGATCAAGCGCGCCGAGCCACGGGACTCGTCCAGCAAGATGAACGATAGCCATCAAGGTCAGTGGGGTCCACCACAACAAGGTCCGCCAATGGGAATGGCTGGTAACATGGGCCCAATGGGTGGACCCAATGGACAAATGGGTGGACCGATGATGGGTGGACCAATGGGTCCACCAGGAAATATGATGCAACAGTACCAGGGCTGGGGAACCAGTCCTCAAACTGGTGGTTACGCGGGTTATAGTGCCCAGTATAATACTCAAGGTTGGGGCGCACCACCTGGTCCACCGCAGCAACAGCAAATCCCACCGCCTCCACCGCATCAGTGGGGTAGCAGTTATAATGTCCAGCCTGCTGCAGCTAATCAGGCTTACGGAAGCTATGGTTAGTCTTTCATTGTCATCCCTTCTTTCCTAATCCGAGCTAAAATAAATAGTACGTCTATTTACAAGCAAGCAAATTTATAAATGAATTGAATTAACTATTAAATAATTGTTTGTTACTAAAGAGAGCTCCTTATCAATTTCTTGCTCAACATCAATCTTGGACAAAAATCTCACTCAAACTCTTATCTCATCCATCATATATTATTTACTTGCCAATTTAACAAGCTGAATGATTTAACTTAAAAATATTTCGCCAGGTTTACACTACAAACTATTCAACAATTTACATAATTTCCGAAATGCGACTATGCGTACACAATACTTTAAGATATACGTTTTTTTATCGTTCCTCCTCCTTTCTTTATCTATCTCTCTCTGAAGTATAATTTCATTATTTATTATTACATTGTTTAAAAATAATTTTTATCCTATCCCCTCCTGGTCCATCCTGCTTGGAGTTTTTGATAAAATCATAAAGAAAAAAAGTACTTTGATGCCCCCTGGAGAATAAAGAAGAAAGAAAAGAAAATACAATAGGACGAATAAGAAATGAGTAAAGAGAGAAATGGATAATGATGGATATGCGCGTGTTGTATTAGTGAAAAGCAAATAAATAAGCAAAAGATAAAATAATAAAACAATCGAAGAAACAAATGGCGGTGATAGTTAAGGGTGCTTGTATTTGAATTTTAAAAACGTAGCAGGCAGCCTTGACTGTTAAGAAGGAAGGAAGGAAGGAAGGGAATAACGCAAAATTGTAGAGTTCCGATTGGTGAACTGTGTTTGTATGGTTAATGATCGCAGGTGGGCCGGCAGCGGCCGCTTCAGGGGGCTACGGGCCCACGGCGGGTACTGGCGGGGCTGTGGGCGGAGGACCAGGAACTTCCTGGAACACGTGGAACATGCCACAAAATGGCCCTCCACCCGGGCACTCGAGCCAGCCTCCACCCCAGCCCCCTCAGCCCAACTCCTCGCAGCAAAACTCCAACTCGAACCCCTCTGGTCCACAGGGTGAGTCTTCAAGCTCAGTCAAACTCAATGCAAATGCGTACCTAGCCTCTCTGCCTTCATCTTTACCTACATTCCGATCCTGATTTCCATGTTCACCCAAATCTGAAAGTTGATTTTTATTATCTTTTTATATCTATGTTGTATATTCAGTGTATTTCATCTGACTGCAAAGATAGACTCGAAATTTTTTAGTGGACCAGCTTCTTTTAACTATCTTAACTATCCAACGAATAATGTAAATACTCTGCCAGCTTTCTCATTTAGCATTTAGTGTATCGCTCAAATAAACGCGACTCCTATGTACATTAATAATTTCAAGCGTTTTTTATTCCTCAAATTCTGATCAATGTTTTAAATCGCATCCTCTCCTAATTGCATCCTTCCGATACTTTATAAACGTACATTAAGAATGCATTTAAATTTTTTATATAGTGCACGTGACAATCTCTATATTATTAATTTTTTCAGCTTTTATATTATTTTTATTTTTATAAATGTTATTTTATTTTAAATTTCATCAAGCAATATTCAAAATATATGCCCTTAGCAGGTTTTTAAATGGGAAACTAGAAATAAAAAAATAATAAAAATAATAATAAATAATAATAAACTATTTTATTTACCACACACTAGAATTGGTTTCGTTAATAAATTAATTTTTTATTCATATCAAATTCACTTTTTTACATATATTTTTTTCAATACTATGCAAAATTAGTAAATAACAGTATTTCTCCTTGACATAGTGCTTAACTCGATATTCAAACTAAAGCATAATAAGCCAGCCATTGTTTCCTTTTTTCATTTATCAGTATACACGTAGCTTAAAATCGTTGTACAAATAGAAAATTATGTTTAACAATTTTAAATCCAGTTATTAGAATAGTAAAATAATTCGACTTTCGAATTAAGACCCTTCGCTAGTAAAAACCATATGTATTAATGAATAGATAATTGCTTAAAATAGTGCATTTCCTTTTGTTTTCCAAGCGCTTCCTTCCTTTCCTTTACAGTAATAATAGTAAACGTTATTATCAACAGGGAAGAACCCATATATAAATTAAATAGTAGAATGTAAGAGATATTAAATCTAGAAGTCCATTGTACAAATGGTACGCAATAGTGCCGAATGGATTTTTCGTTGTTGATATTTTTTTAAATTAAGTTTTAAAAACTTTGCTTATTCATTATATGCCTCCCATTATAAAATAAATATATATTATTTACGCAAGAAGGAATAAAAATCTTTCAATTAACAAGCTCAGTCTGTATATTTATCAAAGTAATAATCAAATGTTTAGAAAAACATTGAGCATGCGGATCTTGTAGTAACACTTGGAAAAAAAAAACAAATAATAAGAATGTAGGATTTAGGTCAGGAGAATCGAAAACGAAAGGATATCAAGTAGTAACGAGCGGGTATCGTTGCAGGTGACATGTACTCAAGGCAGACAACTGGATCGGGAGCGCCGGGATCTAGTAGCAGCTCGGCAAAGACACCTGACTACGCCGGATATAGTTACCCCAACAACTACGCGGATACGAGTTACCCTCAGCGCTCTTATCAAGGTGGAGAGAGCAGCGAAGGTGGGTATGCCGGCAGCGCTCCTAAACCTGGCCAGCAAGGCTTTGATTTAAAACATTGGGGCACCTCATGACCGTTTTAATTTCAACCAAATTTTCCGTCTTCACGGACGTGACAAGCGCCCAAGGCCTTGCTCTCGTGGGTTGTCCATTTACTTTTGCACTCTCGGACCTCAATCGCAACCTCGATATCTACCAGCCGAGCAAAGTCTCAACTCAACTGTCTACGTCTCTCCCAGCAGCGATCATCGTCTCAACTCGCTAACAATACATTCTAAATAATACTTTTAATAATTACTCACAAATTCTTAGATAATTACATCACAAGATTATGCAAACTACTTTACTTTTTATAACGACACGAAAGAATACGGACGCACGTGCACGTTGACAGACAGATACATAAATGCATATGCATGCATACAGGTACATATGTGTGTGCGCGCGCGCATACTCACACATTCACTGCTACTATTTATTCAACCTACGACCCGATCCAATCCTAGTGAACTTTATCTCGATCGCGTTATCGTAATATTATAAAAAGCTAGACAAAAATGAAAATCATGTGTCAAAGAAAGTATAAGTAGATATAACAATGTAATGATATAATCATAAAAATTAAAATAAGATTAAAAGGTCAATTGTGTATATGATAAAAACGCCAACATTAGAACTCGATCGATTGACGAGGAAATTCACTAGGATTTGAAGAATACGAACGGGTTAATAATGCAAAAGCGAAACATTAGCACACCGTTCTCGAGCGATCGTGCAGAGCCTTAACATTTTTTTTAGTCGTAGCAAAAATTTCTTCTAATTAATAATACAAAAGTCTCAAATTTTTATCAAGGTGAAAATAAAAATAAAGGAATATAATAATTACAATATAGAGACGGATTTTCATTAAAATTGATCGCTCACGAGGACGGACATCTAGATACGTTATAGTAATTAGATATTGTATGGAAACGATGGGAAAACTCATTCAAATAACGTTTAAATATAATGTCGAGATCGAAACGACAATAGACCACCCATGGTGCAAGCGAGAGCCCTTCGGCGCTGGGACACCGAGGGCAGAAAACTAATCATGCTTATACATGTCGTATATAGTTTCTGCGACCTTCATTATTGAGCAAAAGTATACAATTGAACAAAAAAAATTTTAAAATTATAAAAATAAAAAAAATTTAAATTGATCGAACATCTACAATCGAGACGGAGGAGCGAGTGAAAACAAAAAAAGAAAAAAGAATCGACGTCGAAGACTATCACCGCTGTGGCCCTGATGCTAAATTGAAAAATATACAAGCGCATGGATGTGTTTACTTTTTTAGAGTACTATATTCAAATATTTTTTATTTCAATATTCATCCTTTAGTTTATAACTCAATTATAAAAGAAATTATATTGAATTAAATAAATTATTTTTTATACATTTTGTTATTTTTCTAATTTAATTTTCATCAATAATAATTTTCAGCGCTCGTGTATCTTTCAACAGCGTTGTACGTTACAATAGAAAAAGAATTACGAGTTTAATATTAAAAATTACTTTTAAAAGGAAAAAGATGGCGAGAGTGAGTGCATGCATACATGTGAGCGAATGTGAAAGAAAGATATGATTGAGTGAACAAGATAGTAAGAATGGGTGTGAACGAGTGAGGGAGTCAGAAGGTCGGCAAGCTAAATTTAAGCGACAGGTTCGCAATATTGAGACGACCAACCCTTTACAATCAATACGGATCTACTATTGTGTAGTAGTTAATAACGAATAAACAGAAAGATAGAAAAGACGAATAATTAACGAGGTTTTATAAGTCAATATCATAGGCCGATTCTACCAGTAATTAAAATAAACTATTCGACAGTAGTGTAACATACGTAGATCTAATTTTGACAATTATGTAAGCGTGTTTATAAAACAACTGACATCAGGACATAGGCTCCTTCGTGATCTTTTAGCCTATTTTTTTTTATCATATGTCGTAATTTTACTTTTGTATGCTGTATAAAATGCGCCTGTATACTTGTTTATACTAGTTTCTTGTCTCTTTTTCCTCTTATTTTTTCGTATTTTTCTTGGATGTTTTTTACTCTATTGTATTAATTATTATCATTATTATTATTAACATTACTTATTATTAATTATTATTAATTATTATTATTATTATTATTATTATTATTATTACTATTACTATTCTTATTATTATTATTTTCATAATTCATATATTAGGTATAAAGTTAGCAAACGATGATTTTTGTGCACATTCAATTAATGAAAAAAGGAGACGAGAGAACAAGAGAATAGTTGCACAAACCTTTAATTTCTTTTCTATACGAATTGTAAATTAAAAATCATTTTCTCATTATCACGGCGGGTTTAAGTAATGAACTGATTTTTTAATTTATATATAAATATACATATATTTTTACTTCGCTTTTCTAATAATTATTAATAATTAGGCATGCTGATGTAAGCATAAGTTATACAACTTTTTTATGTGCTATTTTAATAGTATGATGATTGTTATTGTGTATTTCTTACAATAATTATTACTATTATTCTAATATGAATTAAAATACCTATAGCTTTCTATAGCCATTATTTAATATTACAATTATAACTGTTATTGTAAATTCCTACTATTGTTACTACTATAAAACAAAAAATTTTGCCATTGATTATTTGTGCCGTGCGCATTTTTATTAATATTTTCTGACCTATATATAAATGACTTGGACGGTAGACTTAACCTTAGTTCTGACTCTCTCGCTCCTCCTTTGAGAATCCTTCGTTACAATGAAGTTACTTATAGATGTTTGTTTTATTTAGTTTTAATTAATTAATTTTTTCAATTAATTAATTAACTTTTAATTAATTCGAAATTTAATACTTTTTCAATAATTTATTCAAATTAATAATAATAATGATAATTAGCAAATTAAATAAAATTACGTAATTATGAAATGATAAATTTGCGATCATTTCGATAAACTATTGAATTAGTTCTTATTACAAGATATATATATATATAAATATATATATATATATATATATATATATATATATATATATATATATATATATATATATATATAATATTTATATATATATATATATATATATATATATATATAGATATAAAATGTTTGAATAATGCTTAATTGGTTTTTGATACACCAGTCTTGTAAATGTACATAAAGTAAGGAAAAAAGGAAAATAGTTTGAATGAACTCTCTTCTCTCCGACTTGATAACCATTCTATTATATCTTGAATTTCTGTGTCCTTGACAAATAAGAATTTAATAAATCTCGTTGATCCGAGAGCTTTAGATGTACTTTAAGACGCCCCGATTATGGCGCTATCAGCTTTAAATATTTACGTAATGACGTAGGGCACAAATAATAAGGCAAATAAAAATAAAAGACGAGTAAGAGAGCGTACAATTAATTAATTACTATAATAATTGATGGAATAAAATGAATAAAGGTGTTTATTAAGGCTAAACAGATGAATATATTTATACTTGAAGAAAATATCATTAGTATTTTTCGAAAGTAAAACACAGAAGCTAATATTGACTTATTACTGTAAAAGGATAGCTCGTAGGAAAAAAGGTTAAATTTTCGGATTATTAAGGAATCGTTTATTAACTACTATTTGCCGAGTTCACGTCGGCTTACTCTCAGGGTTGTTAACTACTTTTCTAATGTCTCTCTTCGGTTTAAGTCGTTCGTTTTTTATACCATTTGCGGTTTTCGCTCATGTATGTTTACAAATATAAACATTTGTAATAAACGACAAAATCAAATAATGATTGCACCCAAGCCGACTGAGCCTCTTAAACGAGGAGAGTTTAATTTAAGAATGCATATAATTATGGAGACAGATTCTTGAAAATAGGCAGCGCGTTGCCTCCTTCGTTGATTAATCGTTAAAGTTTTTAAAGCTGCTATTCTTAGTGAAAACGGATAAGTCGTAAAGATTTAAAGTTAATGAAAATAACAAAATTTGTAGAGTGAAGAAAAAATAGACATAAGAAATAAACAAAAATAAAGAGACGTGAAATGGGTTATATTTGAAAGCGAGAGAGAGAGAGAGAGAGAGAGAGAGAGAGTGTGTGTGTGTGTGTATGAATGTAAGTTCAATAAAATCTAATACCGCTAAGTACATCGAGTTTTACGTTTAATTATCGTGATAATTAGTCGATTGGTAAATTACATAGGATCATAAAACATTAAGTACCTAGTACTTGGCATGCGAATTACTAAGCAAGCGGGTCTAAGAATGAGAGAACTGAAAATAAGTTTCTGAAAGAATGTGTATGTATGCTTGGATGAGAGAGAGAGAAAGAAAGAAAGAAAGAAAGAAAGAAGTGTAAGAGTGAGAGTACAGAAGATAATAGAGATAGAAAGTTTTTCGTAAATGATAAACATAATATCAAGATTATAGATTAAATATTCAATCGGGATTCCGCCAAGAATGGCCCGTTCAATAAAGACTGGTTTTAGCGACTAATTAAAATACGATTACATAATTATCTATACGTGTACGTCTATAGAGATCGTCAAATCAAGTTCTTTACTCTCCTACCGTTCAGTCGTACGTTGATGAGTTTTACTTTAAAATAAATGATAAACGATATGCTAGCGTGCTCTCACTTCTAATGTAATTTAATACATTTATGGCATAACGAACCATTTTGCGATAAACTATTTCTGTGCTCGTGGTTTTTATTTAATGTGGTAAAGACCACGTGCTTAATACGTTATGACCAAGTCCACGATTTGTACAAACGAGTTAAAACGCACGATCCAGTATGTATCTAATTTAAGGATTTAAGAAATCGAGAAATAAAAACCAACTAAGTATAGAAAAAGAACGCTGCACTCGTATCTTGCATGCGCGATTTCGAAAAGTAGCTTTCGATATCGATAACGAGCGAAGGAAGATCTTCGATTGTCGCTTCGATTACGCTCCTACGTTCTCTATTGT